CCTCAGGTGATAGTTTCCTATCTAGAACCACCCCTAGATCTCTTTCTTTATCACTTTTGGCGATCACACAGGGTCTTGCCTGCTTGTTACCTTGTGAATGTCCCTGGGCCTGGTCGGGCCTGTGTTGCTTTGGGTCGGCGGTTACAGCCAGTTGTCTCGACTTCGAGTTGAGGAGTGAGCAGCAACCACCTCCCGGGTAAGTCCCTAAGTTTTCCTCTGAGGGTAGTTAACTCCGGGGAGCCGAAGGGGCTTCCCCCATAAAACCAGCGTTGAATGTAATGAAACGCCATCTACTAGGTGGGACCCGGAGGCTCCCCGGAATCCCTCCCTCCCTCCGGTTGGCAGTTTTTCACGTGTTTTGACATCCAGCCTAAGAACTGATGGTGGATAGCCAGCGTGAGGTGTCTGGGGCTCCCCCTTTCCCCACCAGGGGAGGTGGGGAGCTGCGCAGACAGCGGCGCGGCGACGTGTGATGTCATGATCGTTTGCTCATTTCTTTTAGGGACGTTCTATCCACTTGTTCGGCTTTTGGTAGCAATATTTTCACTAAAATAGGGGTTTGTTTTGGGATGCTTACCTTTCTGGATGCCTGACCCAATCGATGACAGACATAGAATGCTTCCAACTACACGGGGGTTTCTATAGGCCATTGCTTCCCTTTCCTCTTCTGAGGGGGCCAGGTTCTGGCTCGTGGTCCCCGGTAGGCCCAAAGAACTCCATACACATGACTGATGCCAAAGTCTGACATTAGCATATCAGCCTAGTAAGCTCCAGGGAGCCTCCAGGTTTCACTCAGAAAATGGCGTTTCATTACATTCAACGTTGGTTTTATGCGTGTTTTGATATCCAGCCCCAGAACTGGGGTCTTGAGTAGCAAGGGGTCTGGGGCTCCCCATTTTTCCTCCTGGGGAGGGGGGACCTTCGCACAAAAAAAACGAGGAAGAGGAGCCACAACAAACCGAGGAGGAGGGACCACAATAAACCAAGGAGTAGAAAGAAACGAGAGCACCTAGTCCAAAGACCAGGACGGCTCAGGAGGCGCACGAGCAGGCACCTCCTGAGGTGAAACAATGCCCGAGACAGCTTGCGGAATGGGGGCAGAAGTAACATCAACACCGAAAGCAAGCTGAAGCAGCTTGGCCAGCGCTGCACAATACGAGGTGACAGTATTGGGCATAAGATGACGGTCCTGGAACAACCAAGAGAGAGAGAGAGAACAAAACAACCCTATCAGACTATCAGAGACCGAAGAATACCTACGCAGTGATAGGAAGAGCCAGACGGATCGCTAGGTACCTTCATACTGTCACTGAGATGAAGCACGCAGGAGGGAGACTAACAGCGAAGCCACCTGCACACCATACAAGTGATGATAAACTCGAGTCAAAAACTCAAGACTCGAGGAGAAGACCGAACCAGCCTCGTACCAGACTGGACCGTTCTGCTGAAAGAGGCGGAGCCGCAGGAAGACCCTCGGGTTCAGACACTGAGCAAGCAGCGCCTGAAACCAAGGCCGGGCTGCCCACCTAGGAGCCAAAAGGACAACTTCCTTACTCTTCCTTGGTAAGTCTCCAAGTGAGCCAGGACCTGGAGCAACAGCTGAACCAAGGGAAAGAGTTACAGGTAACCCCACCTTGCCCGGTCCAGCCGAAAGGCATCGACCCTGACAGCCTCGCAGTTGGGGAAGGGCTCCACCTCAATCATGCTGACGCGAAGAGATCCACTTCCAGAGTCTCGAACGGGCTCACGCACCACCTGAAAGAGACAGCCCACACCACAAGGCACAGAACTGAAACAAAAGCTGTAGCAGAGGCATGACCGCACCAGACTCCCATCCGCCAAGAACTGTTGATTGGACAAATCCACATGGGCCGTGACGAGGATTCGAACCTGCGTCCGAGAGCATCCCAGACGCTGCCTTATCCCTTCCACTGCTCAGGGGTCCTGAGGCAGTGGAAGGACCTTACACCCCTGTGTGCAAGAAAAAAAAAATTATAAAAAATTATTTTGTCTTCTTAAAATGTTAATTTGTGTTCCCTGAGCACGGGAAAAATTAAAAAATATCGTAGGTGACATATTTTGGGCGCAATTGATCGAGGAAGTCTGGCAAAAAGTGGGCGTTGACAGAGCGGTCGTCAGAGCCGGTCAGCGTCACCCGCGCTGACAGGTGGGAGTTGCCACAAAGATATTATCACTTAATTATTTCTATGATATTATCACTTAATTATTTCTATGTCTCTGATTGATTTTTTTTTAGTTTTTTTGCAGTAATATTATTCAATAGTGTGTATTGTAATATATTTATATAATAAAAGTGGTGAATAATCGCTATACTCAAAAGTATGGTGTGCATATTAGTGTTTCAATTATTATGTTTATAAAACAATAAACAAATAGTTTTGCTGCTATTACACTCTATACACAGGTTATATATAAGTATCTGCATGTTTCTTTTACCTTAATGAACCACTAATTTGGTATTGAGAGTCAAAAAGCAACGAAGAGTTACCGCCACACACCAGCAACCACTCATTGCCACTCCCTCAACAACGCCTCACTCGCCCACTTTTTCCTCCCACCATCCTGTTTTATATTTTATTCACAATATACAGATGTTATATATAAGAATCTACATGTTTTGTTCACCACAACTGTACAACTAAGCTGTTATAGTTAGTTCAGGCACTAAGAGTCGTCGCTATACACACAGTCAGCTGGCGGCTGCTTCACTCATTCAAGGCCACACGCACTAAACTTTCTTCCCCGACAATACCGTTTGTGGTGTTATTACACTATATACACATATTATATATAAGTATCTACATGTATGCACCGTAACTGTATACCTAAGCTTGTAGAGTGCCCAAAGAGCATAGTGGCCACCCTCTGCACATCTAGACAAATCATGCAGACGACGTCACCTTCGTCACCCAAATGGCTCTTCCCAGCATAATCCTTTTGCTGTTATCACACTAATACACACATTATATATAAGTATCTTCATTTGTGTTCACCATAGAGAACCACTGAGCTGGTATGGTGAATGCAGACAATAACAGGTGACCACACAGTCAGTAAACGATGCAATCATCTTCCGTCCCTCAGCATCACTCCTCCCACAGCGCTAATTATTACAACAATCCTGCTATTATCACAACCCTGGTTATTTATATCACAGTCAAGGGTCATCTGTAATATTGTTATCACTAAATAATAGCAATTATATATTTATTTTGACATTTTTTGGCGATGCTGTGGTCACAAGCTGAACAGCAATGCTGTTCGCTCATGCTGCATGCGCCAGCCTTGGTTGCTCCAACAGTACTGTGCCTCTCACACCTGAGAATATTGCCCTCGATTTTTTTTTAAATGGCGTCTGTTTACAAGAGCCCTGAGGAAGCTACTGTGAACCCCGTGAAGCTGCGGGCCATTTGAATCGTGCCTGGCACCTTATGGCGTATATGTATGCCATGCGCACAGTGGGACATGTTACTCATGGCGTATATATACGCCATGCACAGTTTAAGGGTTAATCGACTGAGCTACGACATGGTCAAAAGGAGTTGAAACCGAAGTTCTACTGAACTTACTGGATCCTGCAGCCTCTCAGAGGCACACACTAGGGTTTTACACTACTCCCCCCATGCACTCGAGCTATGTCAACAGACCGTTCTCCCTCTTCACCCTTACTTCATTACACACAGAAATCACAATTGCGTGACGAGGATTCGAACCTGCATCCGAGAGCATCCCAGACGCTGCCTTAATCGGAGCTGCGACGTGGTCAAAAGGAGTTGAAACCGAAGTTCTACTGAACTTACTGGATCCTGCAGCCTCCTCGTCACGGCCCTTGTGGATTTGTTCATTTGATGCATCATGCAATTGTGATTTCTGTGTGTAACTGTAGGTTGGGTCGCCAGCTTGGACGACGGCGCGTCAATATGATGACGTCATGCTCGTTTGCTAATTTTCGTTCGGGGAGTTCTGTCCACTCGTTTGGCTTTCAGTAGCAATATTTTCACCAGAATAGGGGTTTGTTTCGGGCGCCTGTCTTTCTGGGTGCCTATCCCGGTCGACGGCAGACATAGAATGCTCCCAACCACAGGGGGGGGGGGTGTTTCTATTGGCCATTGCTCCTCGTGCCTCTCTGAGGGGGCCAGGTTCTGGCTCGTGGTCCCCAGTAGGCAAGAACTCCATGCACTTGACTGATGCCAGAAAACTAAACACATCCATTCAGCCTGGATAACTCCAGGGAGCTTCGGGGACTCTCCCAGAAAATGGTGTTTCATTACATTCGACGCTGGTATTTTACTCATGGGTGGACATGCATGTATGTCCATAGCTGCACTTTGTAGGTTAATAAAAAAGATTATTATATTTGTAACATCTGGAGGAAAGCTTTTGCTTACCAAAGTCAAACTGTCAATTATGTAGGAGGCTTCCCTTTGTTCTTGGATCATAAGCCCCCAAGGTGGCAGATTTTAGAACTTTTAACACATTGTCGGGAAATGAAAAAGACATTAGCCAATGCTTTTGAGATGATAATCAAACTTCATGTAACATTGTAGCATGAAACACTGTTATTTGAGCTGGTCCCAAGTGGCGCACGAAAATTGTTCTCCACTAAGAGGTCTGTTGATTAACAGTGTAGTAGTTGGTTGTGTGTTTTCTAACATACTGCAATTGCTCCTAACTCTGCCCTTGTGCATGTTGGGGCTTTGTGCCTTCATGAAAGTGCATTTGGGGTGGATCAGCGATTTTTCTTTCATATGGCTGCCTACGTATTTCCCAACCCGGTTTTTATGATGATGGTTTGGGGTTTGTAGATCAGAGATGCTCTCCTCGTGCTGGGTTTGCTTGCCACTATAAAAATTTTCCTGTTTTTTTAAATCTCTGTATTGGATCAATCATGTTCTCATTCCTCTTTTAATCATTAGTTTGTATTTCACACACACTGTAAATTTTGTATTCTTTGAACATTTTTGTTTTCATATTTATAGGTGCTGGAGGAAATGTACTAGGTCGGCGCACACAGTATGTTCCTCAAGGTGCTCGAAGGCTTGCAGTTAATACTGAGGAGTTCTGCGCATTAGACCCAGAAAAAGTGCCAGTGGATGAGCAGTTCTTCTATAGGTAAGAATGTGTTAAATAATAAGGCTTTTAGTCAATATGAAAAGCACTTTTCTGAGTGGAATCATTCGGTTGGTTTGCAAGGTAGAATCTCGTGTTCTAAAACAGGATCGTGCTACAATCAGGCATGTCAACATACTGGTAATGGTACCACAGGGAACTTTATACTGTACATGGTTCTGGCTAGGTTGGTCATTTTTGGCAGCAATTGGAGAGTACTCATCCCAGCTCAGAAAAACCAACAGATGTTGCTATTCATAAAATCTCAAAGCCATTTCAAACTCTCTGTAGGCATGACAGGTAGCTACGGATGAGGACTCTCACTAATTACTGGTTGGTCTGCCTACACCGTACACTATGAGGCTGCAGCGGCATGCCCATCTATGGGTTCCATTACCTAAACCATCCCTCATGCTACCTGATTTTAAGAATTAACTATATGTACAGAGAAAAAGAGCAACAGAATGATTCTATTCTTATCTTAGGCCTATTGTGTTTGGCTGCTATTTAAGGTAAGTCTAAAACAGATGGAATAATGGAACCCAGATGGAACAGATGGAACCCTGTGTATATCAGATTCTGCCATCAGGTGGTCAGGTGTAGCAGCCAGCATGGCAGTTTGTATGAATGCTAATTGGAAATCTTTGAGTTTCTAGTTTGTGTTAGGAAGGGTTTGAACTACAGTCAGCCACGTGCTTTACAAATGTTCATGTCTGAAAATGCCTGTAATCCGATTTGGGTTGGTTCGTATAAAAAAGTTTGGATAACTGGTGGGACAGGCAATCTGAATAAAAATGTGCAATAAAGATGGAACTAGTTTGCCAAATGACGTTACACAGCGCCACTTGAGCAGTGTTCATACACTATGGATGGCTCAGAAGCTTTATACTCTGCCATGGCATTAGGTACATTAGAGTACATGGTGAAAGGCAGTCTGATGAGGTTACCCCATCGTCATTAATCTCCACTTTTGTCAACCCAACATTATCATCATCCATCACCACCTTTTCTATCTAAATAACAATGCTCCATCAACTATAATTTTCGAGTTAACTAGCACATCAGAACATCTCATATTGGTGAGTACAAATAAAACACTGTCGAATTTCTGCGACATAATTGTCAGCTTCTGGGCAAAGCCCCCATCGGCTCCCTGAAACTATCTGAAACGGTACCTGCTTGATGGGTTTTTGAGAGTTGTTCTACTCCCCAAGCCCTGCCCGAGGTCAAGCTTGACTTGTGAGAGCATGGTCCACTAAGCTGTTACTTGGAGCGGCCTGCAGGCCCACATATCCACCACAGCCCGATTGGTCATGCACTCCTTGGAGAAAATTATCTAGTTTTCTCTTAAAGATGTCCACGGTTGTTCTGGCAATATTTCTTATGCTCGCTGGGAGGATATTGAACAACCGTGGACCCCTGATGTTTATACAGTATTCTCTGATTTTGCCTATGGCACCCCTGCTCTTCACTGGTTCTATTCTGCATTTTCTTCCATATCGTTCACTCCAGTATGTTGTTATTTTAATGTGTAGATTTGGGACTTGGCCCTCCAGTATTTGCCATGTGTATATTATTTGATATCTCTCTCGTCTCCTTTCTAGTGAGTACATTTGGAGAGCTTTGAGATGATCCCAATTATTTAGGTGCTTTATTGTGTATATGTTCTCAGTATTCCCTCAATTCAGCAATCTCTCCTGCTTTGAAGAGGGAAGTGAGTACTGAACAGTACTTAAGATGGGACAGTACAAGTGATTTGTATAGTACAACCATTGTGATGGGATCTCTGGATTTGAAAGTTATCGTAATCCATCCTATCATTTTTCTGGCTGACAAAATATTTGCTTGGTTATACTCCCTAAATGTTAGGTCATCATACATCATTATTCCAAAATCCTTTACATGCTGCTTCTTTACTATGGGCAGATTTGATTTTGTTTTGTTCCCTGAATTATGTTTAAGGTCCTCATCTTTACCGTACCTGAGTACCTGGAATTTATCATTGTTAAACAACATGTTATTTTCTGTTACCCAGTCAAAAACTTCATTAATATCTGAATAAATCCACAAGGGCTGTGATGAGGGTTCAAACCTACGTCCGAGAGGATCCCAGACGCTGCATTAATCGACTGAGCTACGACATGGTAAAAGAATTGTCGTAGCTACGTAGTTGAGCTACGACAGCTCGGTCGATTAAGGCAGCGTCTGGGATCCTCTCGGACGTAGGTTGGAACACTCATCACTGCCCTTGTGGATTTGTTCATTTGGTGCATCACACTATTGTGATTTCTGTGCTCATTAATATTTGTTTGAAGTTTTTCAATGTCTTCAGCAGAGGTAATTTTCATGCTGTCTTTTGCGTCATCTGCAAAGGATGATATGAGGCTTTGATTTGTATTTCTGGGGGGAGCCCCGGAGGCTCCCTGGAGCTATCCAGGCTGAATGGATATGTATAACTTTCTGGCATCTGTCAATCTGCATGGAGTTCTTGCCTACCGGGGACCATGAGCCAGAACCTGGCCCCCTCAGAGAGGCGCGAGGAGCAATGGCCTATAGAAACCCCCATGCGGTTGGGAGCATTCTATGTCTGCCACCGTCCGGGTCTGACACCCAGAAAGGTAGGCATCCCAAAACAAACCCCTATTCTGGTGAAACTATTGCTACCGAAAGCCAAACGAGTGGGCGGAACTCCCCAAACGAAAATTAGCAAACTAGAATGACGTCATCACTTGCCCCGCCGCTGTCTGCCGAACTCCCCCTCCTCCTCGATAAGGAGAAGGGGGAACCCCCCTCCTCCCCAGTAAGGGGAAGGGGAAGCCCAAGACTCCCGCGCCGGTGATCCAACTACCAATTCTTAGCTTATGCGATTCTGGAGAAGTCGTGTGCCTTCGGCTCTTGTATTTTGTCTCAGTTCTGTGCCTTGTGGTGTGGGGGCTGTCTGTACAGGTGGTGTGAGCCAGGAGAAATATTCCACGGTACTCGGGCTGCATGCGCCTAGGATTCCGTTAACTTGATGCCCAGTAAGTACTGCCCTTGGGGCTTGGGGCCTCCTTCCACAAGTCAGCTTGGGATCTATCTCCGCTATGTCTTTTAATGCTCATACTTGGCTGCCCTTGCGCTCAGGTGGGGTTTTGTTGTCCTTGTTTGTCTCTGGGTGGGAGGTAGTTTTTCATCATTGGTATGGGCGCAGGGTACTGCACAGCTAGTTATCACCTACTATAGCGGCCGGCTCTGTTCCGCCTGGGTACATTGTCTTCTTGCTGGGTTTTTTGTTTTGTTTTTGTTGTTCCTGCCTGGTGGGGGGGGGGGGGGGCGTGCCTTGTCCTCCCCCTCTGGAGACAGGAAGAAGACCTGGTGGGGGGGGGGGCCTGCCTTGTGTTGGTGGTATCCTCCTCTAGGCCCCTGTGACTGTACACGTCCCAGGGGGTTCACCTTTTAGAAGTTCATTTTGTAGACTTGAGTGCCAGTTCGCAGTACCCTTCCTTGGCATCCCTTGGTGTGTTAAGAAGACTAAGGGCTCTGGGAAACCCCACGGGGGCTTCGGGGTCCGATGGGTGTGACCCTTCAGTCCCCTCTTACTTCATACGAGATTGAAGGTTGTTCTGTCCCCTTGTCTCAGGGCGACACTCACAGGTTGTGCCTCCACCATGCTGCCTGTTGGGTCGGTGATTCTTTTGACCCGGAGTCGTGCGATGTTTGTTGTCTGTATGTGCTCCAGTTCATCCAAGCTACTGATAATGATTTGAGGGTGAAGGCAGCTGCTGCGTTGCATGCTAGATTTAAGTTGCGGCAACACGCTAGGTTGGTTGCGGCAACATGCTAGGTTGGTTGCAGCGGCGGATGCCCCGACACTGCCCCAAAACGGCCCTGTTTTAGTTATAGGGACCCAAGACTTGGGGGTGGGAGTCGCTTCGGCTCTGGTTCGGTCCGCCCCCTCCTAGTCCTTCCCTTCTGTTGTTCCGGTTCCTTCCCCTCCCCCTCCCCCTCCCCCATCCTTGCTTCTGGCTCCGAAGCGTCTGAGGGTTTCGGAGTCGGGGCAGGGTCTAGTTGGTGATGAGACTCGGACGGTCTTGGGAGTCCCCTTTTAGAGTTGCGGTTGAGGCATTCAAGCCTGGTCCTCCAGTCAAAGCTTCTGGGTCTGACCAATGGTCTCCCTTCGTTCCTGCTTTTGCGGCGACTCCCGCTTTTTCTTTAGAGGCCGGCTCGGCCCTGGGTCCTCAGGGTGAGGCTCCTGGGGCGGAGGAGGGGTTGACTTGGGGGTCTTGGGCCCCGTTGGACCCCGCCTGGGTTTTTCTACCCTCTGAGTTGGGCTTGGTGTTTCAGGGTGTGGGGTTCTCTTTTGCTCCCTCCTCGTACGAGTTGGATTTGGCATCTACCCCTCCCTGGGTTCGGTTCCGTGATCCCTTGGGTTTTTTGGTCCCATCCTTCCGGAGGTTTTCAGCTTCCTGCGTCCCATCACAAGTGGTGTGGGAAGTCCTTGCGGCTTACCTCCTGAGCGACCCGGATTATGCTTTCGTGATGGATACTTGTTCTTAGTCCCATAGTCCCATTTGGTTCCCTCTCAGGTTCGGTCTTGGGTGGGTCTTGTGTGGGACGCTCGGACCGCTTTCTTGTCTCTTCCTTCGGCGGCTCTGCTTCGCCTGCATTCCCGCCTTCGTCTGTTCCTGAGAGGTTCCTGGGTCACACAGTGGTTGCTCGAGGGTTTGTGCGAGAACCTGAACTTTGCCATGATGATCTACCCGCCGGGTCAGGCATGGCTTCGTCGGCTGTTCTGGTTCCTTCGGGGACATCCCTTCCGCCTTTCTCGCGACCGCCGGGTTTGGCCTCCTTGGACTTTGCGTCGGTTGCTGCGTCGCCGGCTTCCTCTAAGGGTTTTTTGGGGTTCAGTGCCTTAGCGCCTATTCGAGCCCCCGCTCGATATGTTCATGAACACGTCGTCTCCCAGCTGGGGCTTTGTGACCAGTGCTCACCAGGCCGGCCAGAGTCGATGGGCTTCGTCCTTC